CACACACACACACACACACACACACACACACACACACACACACACACACACACACACACACACACACACACACACACACACAATCTCTCTGCCTTCACCTTTGGGTGATTTAAAAAAAAAATAAAATCACTAAAACAGCAAAACTGTGGCTCACCCTCCCCCACAACATCAGAGCAGAGCTGCAGCCCCCTTTGAGCAAAGCCTGGTTCTGACAGGACTCAGATCACTCTGACCCACATCATTAGCTGTTCTGCATTGAGATATTTACACTGAACAAACAGGGGGTCAGGTCTGCATATAAAAACCCAGGGAGCAGGCTCAAACTCAGGTCAAAAAACAAAGATTTGGTTAACAAAGAAAAATGCTGACGGGGCAGAAAACTTACTAAAACAAACGAACATGAAAGAGAACGAAGGACAAACTGAACTGGCTTTGAGAAACATCATGAAAAGTCAGGGGAGTGAAGACAGGAAACAGAATTAAAGGTGAGCTAACGAACATCAGAACCAGCACACATGAAGGGGAGGAGCTGGGGAAGAACACCGGAAAAAAACAAAGATAACAGTTGGAGTTGGTTATAGATTTAGTTACTTATTTAAATTTATCTAACTTTTTTCAGATGTAAGGGGCTTTTTTCAGTATTTAACACATCAGAAAATATTTAATGATTACCATGTTTTAAAGTCGTACAGAAACTGTGTTGTATGCAGTTGGTTGTTAATACAGCAGCTGTGTCTAGTTGCACTTTTAAAAAACTGTCATGTTAGAAAAGAAATGATGTGTTAGTTGCGTTTTTGGCTTTGAACCCAATGCAGAAAGACTTGGATGATGTTCAGCTACTCCTGCTCCAAACATCAGCTAATTATCTGTAAAATGGAAGGAGTTAGTTGTGTTTTTTAACTTTAGTAGCTAAGGTAACAATCATTAATAGGCTGACATTTAAAGTTGATCAGGTGTGGCTGCAGAGGCTCCATCTACATCCTGCAGAGGCTCCATCTACATCCTGCAGAGGCTCCATCTACATCCTGCAGAGGCTCCATCTACATCCTGCAGAGGCTCCATCTACGTCCTGCAGAGGCTCCATCTACGTCCTGCAGAGGCTCCACCTACGTCCTGCAGAGGCTCCATCTACATCCTACAGAGGCTCCATCTACATCCTGCAGAGGCTCCATCTACATCCTGCAGAGGCTCCACCTACATCCTGCAGAGGCTCCACCTACGTCCTGCAGAGGCTCCACCTACGTCCTGCAGAGGCTCCACCTGCAGAGGCTCCATCTACATCCTGCAGAGGCTCCATCTACATCCTGCAGAGGCTCCATCTACATCCTGCAGAGGCTCCATCTACATCCTGCAGAGGATCCATCTATATCCTACAGAGACTCCATCTACATCCTACAGAGACTCCATCTGCATGCTGTAGAGCAGTGGTTCCCAACCCTGGTCCTGAAGTACCCCTAAACAGCATGTTTGACTTGTTTCCCTGCTCTTCAGCAGGTCTTCAGAAGATTGTTAATCACTCATTCATTCAAACCAGGTGYRTYAAATCAGGGAAACATCTAAAAATCACTGCTTTAAATGTTGACCAACAAACTCCTCAAGAGCTTCTCTGAGCTTGATGAGACATTTTCGAAATAGAATAATGACTTAATTTTATGTTTTTTAGTGTTGCCTCTGGAAGCCATTTATTCTTTACCATTTATTAGTAAATAATAAATCAGATAACATGTATTAAAGAAGTGATTCTCAACCCTGATCCTCAAGGACTCATTTCCTGCATGTTTAGATGTTTCCCTGATTTGACACACCTGGTTTGAATGAATGAGTGATTAACAATCTTCTGAAGACCTGATGAATAGCAGGGAAACAAGTCAAACATGCTGGATAGGGGTCCTTGAGGACCAGGGTTGGGAACCACTGCTGCAGAGGCTTGGTCAGAATTAAGGCCATATGTTGTTGTTTTTGTCCAGGTCCTGTTAATTCTGACTATATCTGCTCAGGCCTGTTTCACTGTGTGTGAAACTGAAATTAACTTTGAATTCCCTGATTTCAGTTTCAGACGTATTGTTCATAGGTACAGCTGCATGACAAAGATAAATACCTCTTTGTTTCAACTGTCCACTGCTGAGGGTGATGTCTTTACGTTTGTCTTTGTATTTGTTTGTCTGTTAGCAAAAATATTTCATAAAACCATGAACAAATTTTAACAAATCTTTCAAAATGTTATAATTCTGTCAGCAAGCAATTAATTTTTGTAGTCATCCCATTTGAAGATGGTCTGCAGAGCTGGCATTAGCAAACCTAAACATGTCAATGACTTTAGGTTTGACCTTTAAGATTCGTGTGGTGGACGACAGTCCTTAACGGGACTCAATAGTCGTGTTTCCATCTAGTTGTATAGTGAATTTTTATCGAACTTTTCAAAATTTACAAAATAAATAAATAAATAAATATTTGAATCTAGACTGTTTCCATCTAGTTTTCCTCTCGACTAGATGCGAATAAACGAGGCTACACAAGGCGTGATTATGTCAGACGAGGCTACGCAACGCATGATTACGTCACGTCAGACGAGGCTACGCAACACGTGATTACGTCAGACGAGGCTACGCAACGCGTGATTACTTCAGACGAGGCTACGCAACGCGTGATTACGTCAGACGAGGCTACGCAACGCGTGATTACGTCAGACGAGGCTACGCAACGCGTGATTACGTCAGACGAGGCTACGCAATGCGTGATTACGTCAGACGAGGCTGCGCAACGCGTGATTACGTCAGACGAGGCTACGCAATGCGTGATTACGTCAAGACGTCGGCGACAAGCTTTGCGGTATTAAACAGGAAGTGAAAATTGATAACTAGCTGAGGCTAATCATCTTGGGACAATGGAGCAATTTTTTTCGTGAATGCCTTGCTATTGGGCAAGTTATTCTATCTATTCAGCTAGTACGGGCTATGTTTAACGCTGCCAGGAGACGAAGGGAAATAAACGCAATGTTAAACTACGCAGCAGAAAGGCACATGCAACTACGCCGGGACAAGGCAGGAAAGCGGAAACAGCTGAACGTCACGAGAGGTAAATATGCGCTACATCAGAATTTATTCGGCAAACGTGTTTCCATCTCCCGTTTTGCGCATTAACTACTTTGCGAATCATCCAAAAACCACCTCAAGCGAGCGTAAAAACTTTTTAGCGAACTGAGTATTTTTTTTTTTTGAATTTTGCTGTTTCCATCCGACTTTTTGTCACATTTTTAATGTGATACTTCTAAATGTGCATCAAAAAGCCTTGATGGAAACACAGTTATTGGGATAAGAGACTGAAATTTAGAGATCCTGAGGACAAACCCCCTCCTTCTGCTTAGCAACCTGAGGGCTATTAGTTGCCTTTTGTAATTCATATGGCTGCAGCTAATCCAGACATGCCCACCGCGCCTGATGATATTTTCACTCTGTTTCTCAAGGGCTCCTGTTTACAAGTTTTTGCTCTGAAGATGTGATGTGTTGCAAAAAACATAACTGGATGCCACTGTAATTTTTAGAGCAACAGTAAAAAATTGTAAATATAGTATCTGATTCAAGTATTATGTGTTTAGTAAGGTTTTGTCAGAGTTGTAAAGTAATTAAGTACAAATACTTTGTTACTGTAC